ACTATTATAATAAAGCGTAAACACACTTCTTTGTTGCCTAAGATGTCAGCAATTACAGCATATTTTTGAATAATTCTTTTTTTAATAAAAATCCCTACACTTAGGTTACGCTTTAGGCTATATATTTTCACGTTATTAAACTTAGGAGGTAAATATTTTGGATAAAAACCCGAATGTGGGAAAGAGATCATAAGTTGCTGCCAACATCAAGAAAGAAAGATTGCTAAGGTTTGTGATGTCATGTCATTTTGACATTTGCTATTGATAATTTGACAAATGTATACAATAAAACAAAATGTTCATAATTTCTTGCGAATGAAGCTGTATGGGAACAGTTAGTTTTAAATAAACCTCTAAAGACTTGGTCCGTGCTTTTTTGCACAGTTTATCTTTTTTTTTTGTTGCGTGTTTCTTGTGCTACCTAATTTTAATCTATTATTTTTATAATTTTTTTTATAACACAAGGTGGCAAACGAGCAAGCGACCATCTGAAACCGCCAAAATGGCGAAGCTACCGCTGCCCATAAACATCCGCAATTGCAGATGCGTTGCCTACCCTTATCCGACGGAGGAGAAGACGCACATACAGAGGATATTTCCCCTTCCTATGCATCTCCTCCACCGTCAAATCCACTTCCTCTTCCCAACCTCTCCTTAAAAGAGGTAAAGAGGTAAAGGGTGGTAAAGAGAAAAAGACTTAAATTAGGCCTCCGGCACCACACTCATCAGACGAAACACGGAATTGCTTCCACTTCACGCCTGCCTACTGTGTGGTCGTGGTATTGGGGGCGAGCCCTGCAGTGCTAACATGTTAAAGCGGGCACTACCACTGTAAAAATATTTCAATAAATATTTCAGGTAATATTAAGTACCATAACGCTATAGTTTAGATGTCAATAGAGTTAGCTGTGAAAAATATTTCGTGTCAAATTTGCCTGTTCTATGTAATTTGAATCTCTGATTCCGATGTTTTCTGACCCTCACCCTGATCCCCGCTGGTACCCTCACCTGATGTACTCTGTGCTGGCGGCGAGCTCGGAGCTGGTGTCCTCGTGGTTGTACAGCCAGACTCCAGCCGGGGCCGGCTTGTGGTCGCGCACCTGGAAGTCTGACACGTAATGACGTGCTGGACTCCTCAAGTCCATATCTAAAGGTTGACCTGGAAATATCTTACTAATATTAGGTTTACAGTTTTTTTGTAGAAATATTAGTAGATTTTTGTTAATCATATGATATAAATATTATAAATGAGCTGTTGCCCGCGACTTCGTCCGCGTGGTATTAGAAAACATACACACTATATAAATAACAAAAAGCTACTTATCCCTCGGGGACCGGACATTTCTCGGGGATGAACATTATCCCATGTGTACTCCAGACTTTGTTTTATATCTGTGACAAATTTCAATAAGATATGTTGAACCGTTGCAGAATGATCGAGTGAACAATAAATAAATGAATCCCACGGGAACCGTAACTATTCCCGGGATAAAAAGTAGCCTATGTGTTTTTCCAGACTATGCACTAAACCTGTGCCAAATTTCATTGAGATCCGTTCAGCCGTTTAGGCTACAAACGCTAACAAACATCCATCTAAACATTCGCATTTATAATATTAGTAAGATTAGTAAGAACACACACCTTACATGTGAAAGTTTAGATGGATGTTTGTTAGCGTTTGTAGCCTAAACGGCTGAACGGATCTCAATGAAATTTGGCACAGGTTTAGAGTATAGTCTGGAAGAACACATATAGCCTATGTGATTAATTATGTGATTGATTATTTTAGTTTTTTATTGTTCACTCGATCATTCTGCAACGGTTCAACATATCCTTTTGAAATTTGTCACAGATATAAAACAAAGTCTGGAGTACACATGGGATAAGCTTCATCCCCGAGAAATGTCCGGTTCCCGAGGGATACGTAGCTTTTTGTTATTCATATAGTTTGTATGTTTTCTAATACTACGCGGACGAAGTCGCGGGCAAGCTAGTTGACTAATATTTCCTTTAACCATTCCCACTAAACTCTATACTTGTGTGTGATATGGTTCACAATAGTCGAATGGTGGGATTCGAACCCTCGACCGCAAGATCGGTAATCCGTACACCAAACCATTTGTTAATCATACTAATATTATAAATGCGAAAGTTTAGATGGATGGATGTTAGAGTTTGTAGCCGAAATTACTGAATAGATTATCAGATTTTTTTAATTCCGTGCGGACGAAGCCGCGAGCAACAACTAATAAGATAAGATTATAACTTAACATAAAAATTATGTCACTAGAATACGAATTATATGTCATCTGTCATCAAAGAATGACTTTCACATATAAATATATACGAAAAAGAACCCGCTATCAATCGGGTAAGAGCATACACTTTTGACTAAACTATCGAACAACTGTTTAGTTGCTTTTTAGTTGTTTTACTCGATATTTAGTTGGGCAACTAAACAGTTTTAGTTTTTGAGTCCCTTTCCCACTCTTTCCTTAAGAGAAAAGGATGGAAAGGAATGGATTTGACGGTGGAGACGCATGTAAAGGGGAAATGTCCTCTTTATGTGCGTCTCCGTCAATGAAGGGTAGGCAGCGCTGCAATTGTGGATGTTTATGGGCAGTCGCTTTCCATTTCGGTGGATTCAGCTGCTTGTGAGTTTGCCACATTATATTATAAAAAATCACTGCATAACAATCGACAGTTGTGCGATAATTTCGTCAAAGGAGTGCGCCCGCGACTCTTAAAAACCTGAAGATATATCTCATTGGGAAGCTACAATCAATTTTATTATAATTTTAGGCTACATGTTACTTTTGAAGGTATTGATTTTTGCAATAAATTGGAATTACAATATAAAAATATCGTTTCTTTTTAACTATTTTCCTTATTATAGTTTGTCTAAATAAGATAGTTTAGTTTGATAAATGACGCATATGAAGTATCGAATTCAATTTGTATGAAAAATGCCGCACTTAGACAGGTATCGTAGTGACGAAACAAACACGCAAAACAATTATGAACTATCGATATTCGGTTTAAATAATTATCGAACTCAACTAAAATTATTATTTTCTTATTAACTAATTTAGAGGACAATTCTAGTATTGATTATAGTGTAGAGAATTTGGCGATGACAGAAATAATAGCGAAATCCAATTCGATTACGTACGGCTGTAGTAGTAATAAACATTTATTTACTCTCATTATTTGTTATGGTCATTATTAATTTGAGAAAACAGTGTTCTTTTTCTTTCATAAGTTATAACTTTGAATCTATCGGTTCCAACTTCTACAAGAATAAAAATCGAAAATCGATAAGATTCATGATTTTACACAACCCATCCCTACTAAATTTGAAATGAATTGTCAAACTAATGTAAATTATTTAGACACACTATAGTACAGTTGTAAATTTTTCAATTCCAATTCAAAAAATCAGGCTTTTAAGAGTCAAGGCTTTCATCCAACCCTTACTTCCGAAGGTTTATTACCTGGATGTAACCTCTGATCCATCCTCAGTTCCCCAAAACCTTCACTAAGTCGTTTCAGACTCGCGTCTACTCCGCTCTCGGACCACGCGGTGTCCGCTCTCAGACAGTCTCCGGTCGGTGGATACCAAGGCTTTGAGGGTTTCGTGCTTTTTGGTATTGAAATACCTGCAGATAAGGTTTTTTTTTTTATGTGATTTTGGACTATTTAATATTTTCGGACTAATATTGCAATAACCTTTTTTACAGTGGTAGAGCCCGCTTTAACATCTTCGCACTGTAGGGCTCTCAGCAATACCACGACCACACAGACAGGTGTGAAGTGAGAGCAATTCCGCGTTTTGTCTGATGAATGTGGTGCCGGAGGACTAATTTTAGTCCCTTCCCCTTTACACCCTTTTTCTTAAGAGGTAAGGGTGGGTAGGAAAAGTGTATTTGACTGTGGAGACGCATAGGAAGGGGAAATGTCCTCTTTATGTGCGTCTTTATGATCAAACTCAAAAACTACTTACCTATTTTTTTTAATTCGTTTTTTTAAATTATCTATACTATTATAATAAAGTGTAAACACACACTTCTTTGTTGCCTAAGATGTCAGCAATTACACCATATTTTTGAATAATTCTTTCTTTAATAAAAAGCCCTACACTTACGGGGTAAATATTTTGGATAAAAACCCTAATGTGGAAAAGAGACCATAAATTGCTGCCAACATCAAGGAAGCAAGATTTGTCATGTCATTTTGACATTTGCTATTGATAATTTGAAAATGTAACCAAAAAAAATAAATTCTTCATAATTTCATGCGAATGAAGCCGCATGGAAATTGCTAGCTATAAAAGTGACAAATGTATAATTTGTATTGAATTTCAATAAATAAATATATCTCACCATTATCAGCAGTTTCAGTAACTGCCACCGGTTTCCTGTCCATCTTCTTAGGCGTAGTATCTTCTAGACTGAGCTTATCCAACTCCGCTAACATCCTCTCTTCTCCGTCAAACACAAAGTCACGTTCAGATTCTTTTCTCTGACCTAATGAAGGGATAATGCTTCCTGTCAATGTAACTAGTTTTTACCCGCGACTTTGATCATGGATAAAAAAAATGAATTTACCCAAAATGGTTTAGGTATTGGTTTTCTAATGGTGAAAAAATAATATTTGAAGCAGTAGTTTTTTAGTTTATTTGTTACATACAAAAATACAAATCTTAAATTGGTATAGCTAGCTGTTCCCATGCGACTTCATCCGCATAAAATTATGAAAATTTAATTTTATTGTTTACATTTGTCAAATTATCAATAGCAAATGTCAAACTGACAAATCATGGCAATCTTGCTTCCTTGATGTTGGCAGCAACTTATGGTCTCTTTCCCACATTAGGGTTTTTATCCAAAACATTTACCCCTAAGTTTAATGGCGTAAAATATATAGCTTAAAGCGTGACGTAAGTTTAGGGCTTTTTATTAAAGAAAGAATTATTCAAAAATATGCTGTAATTGCTGACATCTTAGGTAACAAAGAAGTGTGTGTTTACGCTTTATTATAATAGTATTGATAGTATACATAAAATTTAAAGTTCATAATCTTGCTTCGCTTTAGATTAATTTCGTTTTAGTTATATTTTCCGTATATTTATTGGAAATCTTTTAATTTCTAGAAAGAATGAAATTTAAATAGATAAAAAAAACTTTTAAGACAAATGTCTTCAGAATTTACTAACTTTAGAATAAAAAAAAACAAGCAAAAAAAAAATATCAAACCTCGCTTTTAAATCTCCATTAAAATTACATAACCTTCAAATTTAAAAATATTGCATCTATACAATTATAATAAAGCGTAAACACACACTTCTTAGTTGCCTAAGATGTCAGCAATTACACCATATTTTTGAATAATTATTTCTTCAATAAAAAGCCCTACACTAACGTCACGCTTTAGGCTATATATTATTACGCCATTAAACTTAAGGGGTAAATATTTTGGATAAAACCCTAATGTGGGAAAGAGACCATAAGTTGCTGCCAACATCAAGCAAGCAAGATTTAACAGTGGTAGTGCCCGTTTTAACATGTTAGCACTGCAGGTCCGGCACGCCCCCAGTAATACCACGACCACGCAGACAGGCGTGAAGTGGAAGCAATTCCGCGTTTCGTCTGATGAGTGTGGTGCTTTCCCTTTTCACCCTTTTCTTAAGAGGAAAGGATGGGAAGGAAAAGTGGATTTGATGGTGGAGGAGACGCAGAAGAAAGGGAAATAGATCCTCTTTATATGCGTCTCCTCCTCCGTCAATGAAGGGTAGGCAACGCATCTACAATAGCGGATATCTATGGGCAGCGGTCGCTTCGCCATTTTGGCGGATTCAGGTGGCCGCTTGCTCGTTTGCCACCTTATGTTATAAAAAAAAAAGAAGTCGCACGGGAACAGCAACAATAATCACAGACAGGATAAATTTTTACTCTTACCTTTCTCCCTCCTCTGGTCAGCTGGAGTTCCCCCACCAGGCGGAGCTGGTGTATCCAGCAGTTCCTTCAACTCCTGCTCTAATTCTGCAGTATCGATGTCATCGAGAGTAGTACCTAATGCTTTCTCCACTTCGTTGTAAGATTCCAACACCTATGTAGTCAAGGAATTAAATTCCCAACCCATTTTGTATTGTATTGACACTTGTATATATTATGTATACAAGTGTCAATGCAGTAGAATTAGGTATAAAACGAGAATGTCATCCAAAACAGATCAATAAAGCTCACTATATGTCCCCACCGAGGGGCTCGGAGCATACCCTAATAAGGGGTGACTAGAACATAATCAACCTGCACTGCGGGTTGACTTCACACATATCTTTGAATTTCTTCGCCGATATGTACATCACGATGTTTTCCTTCACCGTAAGAACGTTGGGTAAATTATGTACATATGAAAATTCGAAAAATCTAAAATCACATTGATACAGGATTCGAACCCAAGACCTGTAGATTACAAGTCAAGTGCACCACTGAGCCAGCTTAATTTGTTACAAATATCTTACTAATATTATAAATGCGGAAGTTTAGATGTATGTTAGTTTGTGGGTAAAACTTTTGATCGGTAAAATCCGGTAACAATGTAGAGCATACTCCGGAATAACACATAAGCTACTTTAGTTTTTTTTTTCAATTCCACGCATACGGAGTTGCAGGCGAAAACTAGTTTATAAAAGTATACTAAATAGTCTGACTATAAAATAGTACATAAATTCATATTGAAAATAACTCGTTTTAAAACATTGAAGTAATCTAGAGGTATTTTTTGAATAAGTTGCAAGTATATATATATCACTTAGATTGTCACTTACTTCTTTCAATTCATCCATAGTATCGAAAACTGAGTCTTCTTCCAGTCCACCCTCCTTCATCGTACGCTTCATAGCTTGGGAACTTGTTCTGAAAAATTATAAAACACAGTAAAAACCAGGTTTTTTTTATCTTTTATAAATAAATATACAAAATTTACGCAAGTGACACCTGTATACAAAATACATGCAAGTGACACTTGTATACAAAATATATGCAAGTGACACTTGTATATATAAAATACATGCAAGTGACACTTGTATATAAAATATATGCAAGTGACACTTGTATACAAAATATATGCAAGTGACACTTGTATAGAAAATATATGCAAGTGACACTTGTATACAAAATATATGCAAGTGACACTTGTATAGAAAATATACGCAAGTGACACTTGTATACAAAATATACGCAAGTGACACTTGTATACAAAATATACCCAAGTGACACTTGTATACAAAATGTATACAAGTGTCATTGCAAGTTTTACAATTACATTTACCTGTATGTGTCCACAATAGCAGTGTTAGAGTCGACTTCCCTCATTTGCTGTAAAAGTTGCCTCACATTATCGAGCGCCGCGTCGCAGCGCTGCACTCGTGTGGATATTTTATGTTTGCGACGTAGGTGATTTTTGGCCTAGAATAACAATTGTCTAGACTTTACACGACTTCGATGTGAGATTAAAAAAAATAATAAAAAGAATAGCCTATGTTATTAACTGATAACGTAGCTTCTTTTTATAATGTAAGGTGGCAAACGAGCAAGCAGCCACCTGAATCAACCGAAATGGAAAGCGACCGCTGCCCATAGACATCCGCAATTGCAGATGCGCTGTCTACCCTTAATTGACGGAGGTGGAGACGCACATAAAGAGGCCATTTCCCCTTCTTATGCGTCTTCTCCACCGTCAAATCCACTTTTCCTTCCCATACTTTCCTTTTAAGAAAAGGGTGGAAAGGAAAAGGGACTAAAATCAGACCTCCGGCACCACACTTATCACACGAAACGCGGAATTGTTTCCATTTCTTGCCTATTTTCTGTGAGGTCGAGGTAACACAGGGTAAGCCCCGCAGTGCTAAGATGTTAAAGCGGGCTCTACCACAGTACTTTTTTGTAATGGCGAAAGAATTTTTAAAATTGTCCCAGTAGTTTTTGAGTTATTTCAATATGTTTTAAATGTTTTAAATATTTCAAATGTTATCACCAAATAATCTTTTATCTCATTTCGTTAGTTTACAAACTGACGAGATATCAAAATCTTACTAATATAATAAACACGAAAGTAGGTATATGTTTTTTGAGTTTATAACCTAAAATAAACAGATTTGTACAGTGGTAGAGCCCGCTTTAACATCTTCGCACTGCAGGGCTCTTAGCAATACCACGACCACACAGAAAACAGGCGTCAAGCGGAAGACGTCACCCTTTTCCTAAGAGGAAAGGATGGGAAAGAAAAGTGTATTTGACTGTGGAGACGCATAGGAAGGGGAAATGACCTCTTTATGTGCGTCTCCGTCAATGAAGGGTAGGCAGCGCTGCAATTGCGGATGTTTATGTGCAGCGGTCGCTTTCCATTTCGGTGGATTCAGGTGGCCGCTTGCTCGTTTGCCATCTTATATCATATAAAAAAAAATCTCAATGAAAGTCATAGATGTAGAGGATAGTCTGGAACACATAGACTACTTTTGTTTATTAATCCAAAACTTATCGTTACTAAGTTAGTTAATTGTTAAGTTATACTCACAGCGAGTCTGTTGCCCAACTTAAGTGCTGCTCTTGCATCCGAATCAGCTGAATTAAGTTCCTTTGTAAGTTTGTCTAAGTCAGCTTCAAGTCGAGCCTCCGCTGACGTCAACTTAACTAAGGCTTCATCTGTCTCCGTCACTGGGGTTACTTTTTTATTGGGCTCCGCTGAAAGGAAATACATTAATGAATATTACATCCCACTTTATATTGCACAAATCTGTTCAATTCCAGCAATAGAAAACAGTAAACAGACGTGAAGTAGAATCAATTTCCCGTATTACTTCAAATTTAATATATTTAACCATTGTAAAGTTAAGAAATATGCAAACACATTACACTGAATAGACATTTAAGGGTAAGTAGCTTATGTTTGTTGTTCTGAGAGGTAAATAGTAACAAACATCCATACATCCATTATTGTAAAGCATTTATAACATTAGTAACTGCTGTCATCGATCTGTGTTGATGCGTTGCCTTACATTAATAGGGGATGGGATAGGATATTTTCCTTTTCTATGCTTCAAAACCCCTCCCAAATCCACTTCCCATACATGGAAATGGTGGGAAGGGAAAAATTATTACAACAAACTTTCTATCACTATTAAAGTGTATGCTTAGGGGTTACTAAGTTACTTGTAATAAGTTACTAATATAAAGAGAAGAGTTTTGTATTTTTGTATATATATAAATAACTCAAAAACTACTGGGGCGATTTCAAAAATTATTTCACCATTAAAAAGCTATGCTATCAGTGAGTAACATAGGCTATATTTTTTTAATTTCACACGGTAGAAATCATAAAGAAGGTAGTATTACCTATTTTAACAACATCCCCTTTCTTCACCGCAGCCCCCTGCGACACTAGATAGCCTAGTAATATCTCCAATGTCTCCCGACTACCACCCCATTGGGAGGCTTTTATTAACTCGTCGATAGTTCCTAGTCTTTGTTCTCCTGGTGGAAAATTATCAAGGAATTCTGTCGCTTGTTCCTGAAAAAAAACAAAAAAATCAGTCTACTAAAAGAACTATATGGAAACACAAATAACTAATTGATAACCTCCTATTTGGAAGTCAGTTACAAAAAATTCCCTTTTTCTACAAAAAAGAACATAAAGTGATAACCTTATTACATTTTATACTACATTAGAACCTCGATAAGTTAAAGTCCAAGGGAAACACAAAATTTTTGAAGTTATAGAGGTTTTAAGTTATCAAGGGTCTATGTTGTAGAGGTTTTGGGCTTTATTGGGAAGGGACAATATTATTTTTTTATGTTCATCATCATCATCTCCTTATCCTACTCCCATAGGGTCGGCGCGACAGGTTTTTGTCCTCCACATAACTCTATCATACGTAATCTCAGTCATCACTCCCTTTTTGATCATGTCACCTTTCACACAATCCATCCTTATTCTCGGTCTACAAAAATAAAATAAAAAATGAACATAAAAATAAAAAAACACTATTTTTTTACGTTATAGAGGTTTTTAAGTTACCGAGGTTTGAGTTATCGAGGTTCTACTATATTTTAAAAAAAATGTCCAGCTTTTCTCCATAGAACTGGTAAACATATGTAATGTACAATTCTGTGAGTGTCAAAAAAGTAAAATCGAAGCACTCTATCATCCGTCATCACTCCCTTCTTGATCATGTCACCTTTCACGCAATCTATTCATCTCTTTCTATGTCTACCTCTACCGATGTACCTCCACATTCATAACTAACGTCCGTCTTGTTACATGCGATTCATCCCTTCTCATAACATGTCATACCACTTTAGAGTGGTATATACTTTTATTGCTTATTTTCTAAACCACTGGGGCTACTCTCAAACTTCCTCTACTATACTCATTTCGTTTCATTTTTTTAATGTGTGTTACAGCATAACTCCACCGCTAGTGGACCAATTTCGATAATTCTTTTTACATTAAATTATTTACCTTAACAGCACTTTCTAGTACAAATCTCTGTGTCGATTCTATACTCGCTTTGGGCAGTCCATCACTATCTAGTTGCGGTCGTGTTGGTAATAATGATAGGACAGTGGAGACAGCAAACACTGCTGGCTTGAACGCTATCCTTGCACCCCACATAGCCCAGCCTTCGGGACCGTTGTGTAATATTTGTAGGTACTTAGATATGGGTGATAATTCATTATTTCTGGAAATTATTAATAAAAAAAATTAGTTATGGGTACAGTGGTAGAGGTAGACCTAGAAAGAGATGGATTGCTTGAAAGATGATATGCCAAGAAGGGAGTGACTGAGACGACAGAGGGTAGGGTTATTTGGAGGAGGAAAACATGATCTCTATAGGATTGGATAAGTTGAGAAAGATATGAGTTATGGGTAACATACAATACCCTCTTGAGGAAATAGGGATGTCACCTGACATTGTGATCTATGGAGTATATTGTGTGTCCTAAGCTTCCAAGATATATAAAAACCTCTAAACTACGTAATAGTTAAATTTGAAACAATGCTAGATTCTAACAAAAGATACATCTTAAAATATTTAATAACACGCGAAATGTCGCGGGCGATAGTTAGTTCTGCATATTAAATAACGCCAATGACATAACTGCAGTATTAAGGAAGTAAATTTTTAATCAATAAATATGTTGCAATACAGTAAACAAAGACCGTAACAATTTGGCGCAAATTCAAAAATTACATATGATTCCAAGGTCAAACTATACATTCTATGTATGATAAACAAAGACGTAATTACTTAGAAGGGCAAAATAAGGTTTAAATTAAGCTAGATATCGAAGAAACCTACCTATACATCTCTTCAATAACAATGTCTATGCAGGCTGGTGTACGGCCTTTCCTTTGAAAAGCAAACTTTATATCAGCTGCAGAGATCACAGGATCTGTTCTATGACGACACCATTGGCGCACCATCTCGGACCAGAACTTCATCTTCATGTCCCAAGACTCAGGGTTAGCAGTTTTAATCCTGAATGGTGCAAATAATGCATTCATACGAACATCGTCTGACCAGCATTCCGGAAGCTTGTCGCTCGGTATTTGCGTGTTCGGTAAACCCATTATGGGTCTTTTAGTATTAAATCGATTCTTTTATTCAACGCCCGATTACTGGTTTCGCATTTGAAATTAAAAGAAAACTAAATAAAAAAATATACAATACTCGAAGTCCAGGACCGATTTTGACGTTTTAAAATTACAAAATCACAGAATAAATAAATAAACGTGATATTCGTTACAGATTGTCTATAGAAAATAAGTGTCAAATTAAAATCTTCGATCAAAAATAAATTTATTTTCTCGAAGACACTAAATTGGTTCCGAAAAATGGTTTAATGGCGAAATATTTTAATTTAAACTAGGGAATTCCTTGAAACTCATGGAAAACATCAGGAATGTTATAAAACCGCAATAAAATAGCATTCTGGGATGATTTAATATTTGTATCATCAGGGAACGTTCGTAATTTCACAACACTATAAGATTCCGAACGCGTTTTTACTTGACATTTACTTTCAAGTTCAACTCAAAAATATTATCTGTGCAATTTTTACACAAATGTGAGCTGCCCGGTGTCACACCACAAAATATCGTATATTTTCAATAATTTATATTTATTCTTTCAAATATATCGTTTAGTGCCTTTCAATTAGAAAAAATTGGTAAGTTTACTTCATAATTATCGTGTTTCATGACGACTTTTCGTAGGTTTAAGTAAATTGTTGGTACGGTTTTGTCCCACTTTTTGCAAGCAATTATGAGAAGACGTGTGCGTATTTGCACTACGGTATCATTATTCTCAAGACCTTTTTACGTGTAATCAGTATCATCTTGCAACATAACCATATAGATTTTATAATCTTTGTATGTTAGCAATCTAGATGGCTATACTTAAATCTAGATAGGTTAGTGTCATTGCATATTACGAGTGATTATTAAAATTTACTCACTTTCGGTAAGTCTACCATAGACAATAAATTTTAATTATAATTTATATAAGGCAAAACTTATGTTATAGTTGTGCATACTCGGAAGGAAATAATTGAGAGAAAAACCGTAAAATATTCATACATTAAATTATTGTAGCATTCGTGTTCAATTTTCTTTATGTTCAGTCCTAGTTAGTAGAGGCTATAGTTTACCTAAGAACCCTAGCAACTGTAAGTTGCTAATCTCTGTGAGCAATCTTGGTTAACCAAAATACCTAGCCCTGTATTCAGACACTGCTAGGAGGTATTTTGCAAGGAAACTTCTAAATTATGTTGTAATCAAGGAATTGTAAGAACAACAAACAACTAACTGAACAATAACATTTTTTCTCTGGGCTTAAACTGTTTTATTATTATATAGTGGTCTATTTTTCAAATACCGCTAAAGGTAGTTGAATATGAGGTAGTGCAGTAATAGTTATAGGGAGGGTGGGACAAATATCAATATTGATTTGCCCTTGAACTATGGCCAAAGGGTAATAACAGGGAGACCCTGTTGCATTTCACAAACTGATATGTTTGGAAAAGTTTAGATAACTATTGCTACATTTTTTTCCTCAAGAGATTAAAAATTTTATAGAGTAGGCATAGTTGACTATTTACATAATCTCACTAGTGCTACCTGGTGTCCGATAGTCAAAAATCACAAACTAATATTAATTACCATACAAAGAAGTTACCGATAAAAAATAATCTATCCCTATATCTAGTCTATATGTTTCTTAAATGTCTCTGTTCTCATCATCAACTTGCCCTTATCGCTTATGGAGGGTGTACACAGTATGTGCTCCATACATCTCTATCAGCCGTCATATCTTAAACTATGAAAACGAAAATTTAAATTTAATGTTTTAGTTTTTGGTATTTTTAAGGTGTCCTACCTTTGTCATTCTTATTTTAAGGTAGGGCATTACCTCACAATGTAGCTAAGGCTATCAGCCCTGATTTCCCTATTAAAGTAATGATTTTCTTTAATGTAGGCACACATTGAAGGCCTATGGCTGTCAATATAAGTTCCTATTGAACATCTAATTTTAACTTTTTTTTAATAATATAAGGTGGCAAATGAACAAGCGGCTACCTGATATAAAAAGCGACTGCTGCCCATGAACATCCGCAAATGCAGATGAGTTGCCTACCCTTAACTAACGGAGGAGGAGACGCACATAAAGAGGACGTTTTCCCATCCTATGCGTCTTCACCGTCAAATCCACTATTCCTTCCCATCCTATCCTCTTAAAAAAGAGTGGAAAGGGAAAGGGATTAAAATTAGGCCTTAGCTCCACACTCATCAGACGAAAGGCGGAATTGCTTCCACTTGACGCCTGTTTTCTGTGTGGTTGTGGTATTACTGGGGGCGAGTCGGCCCTGCAGTGCGAAGATATCAAAGCGGGCTCTACCGCTGTTGAACCGACTTCTTCTTCTTCTTACAGTGCCATCTTCTTCCGAAGTTCGGCGATCATTAGGGCGACTTTCGTTCTTAACAACGCGGCTTTGAAAAGTGAACGGGTGCTCTTTCCATACCTATAGTATGTTTTGTTCGCCTAAAAAAACCTACTACCTATAGTAAAATCTTGATAAGCTATACTTGAATAATAAGTGTTGCTATTTCTGTGTACACGCAAAAGGAAATATTATCTTGTATTCATATGTATTGAAATTGGTTTATTTTTAAATATAACGTAACAGGGGAAGTGATGTAATAAAAGGAATTGTGTTGAACTAAGCTAATGTATGTATGAAATCTATATTAATATTATAAAGAGAAGTTTGTATTTTTGTATGTATTCGATTCACGTAAAAACTACTGTGGAAATTTCAAAAATTCTTTCACCGTTAGAAAGGTAATTTATCTGTGAGTAACATAGGCTATAGTTTTATTTATTTTTTAATTTCAAACGGTCGAAGTCGCGAGCAATAGCTAGTATTTTATAAATTACGAGACTCTAGCGGAGGTAGATGCCCCCTGTGACAGCCATTCACCCCTCCTATAAGTTCTGTGTTTGAAGACTTTATTGAATCATCAACTTGCCCTTATCCCTATGGAGGGTCGGCGCAGTATGTGCTCCATACATCTCTATAAGTCATATTTGATTTCAGTCCCTTAAGTCTCCTCTTTCACTCCATACTCTCTTCAACCTTCCTCTACCTTTGTAGCCGTCCACATTCAATCTTAAAACTTTCTGGATTATGTCCCCATACTTTAACTGCATTATGCCACAAACAAACCTAGTGTGGCAGTGGTA